AAAAATTTTAAGAAAACAATATGTAAAATACTTTTTCTTTTATTATATGCAAATATTATAGTTCACCCCCGCACAGGTATTAAGGACAAGGCAAAAGGTGCATATCATCCCCTCAACTCAATAAATAGTGGCAAATCACCCCCTCAACCCACTTCACGCGCAAATCACCCCCTCAACTCACTTGCAGTGGCAAATCACCCCCTCTGTTAACACCGGCACCATCCTTCCGTTAACTTCTAACAGTCCACAACAAAAACCACACTAGCAAGTATAAAAATTGATCAAAGAATCCATAGATACTGTTGATTCTTAGATTCACCAGTATCTGGACAAAGACCAGCTATATCACCACACAATCCCGGGTTGCCCAGGAAGCTCTTGCTGTATATTTTGTTAGCATAAAAAGGAGGGAGCTCTCCAGAAAGCTGGTTATTCGACAAATTAAGCAAATTGAGCTTCAAATTCTGCAACTCAATAGGCACTTTCCCAGAAAATAAATTCCTAGAAAGATCAAGATAATTAAGTACAGGCAAGCTACTTATTTCACTGGGAATTCTACCAGATAACCTATTGTTAGCCAAATTTAGCTCATTCAAATTTACCCACTTACAAATTCCTTCAGGAATACCCCCAGTGAGCTCATTTTTACTAAGATCAAGTCTATCCAACTGCCTCAATTTCACCATGGAAGCCGAAATCCGACCTGTGAAACTATTACCACTCCCAGAGAACACCACCAGATTGCCCAGCAATCCAATCTCATCTGGTATTGGCCCGAAAAATTGATTCCCAGAAATCAACAGTATTGACAGATTATGAGCATTATAAATGCTCGGGGAAACCTACCCACTAAGCAAATTCTCATTGAGCTCAAGCAAATATACTCTGTGCAGCCCCCAAAAGTTGTCTGGGACTCCACCTGTTAACCCGTTGTGCTTCAGTCTGACCCGGAGAAGGCTTTTGCATTTCCCCAGACTCACCGAAATTTCACTGGAAAATGAATTGTACATCAGAACAAGATCCTCTAACTTTCCCTTTGCACACAAATTCTCAAGAATTATACCAGAAAATTGATTATAAGATAAATCCAGGAGTTGCAATGGCGAGTTTTCACCAAGTTGACTTGGCAAAGACCCACTGAGTTTGTTGTTAAACAATTTGAGTTCGTGCAGTAGTTTTGAACTAGCAATGCTCTCTAGTAAAGCCCCTTCGAGCCTATTACCGTACAGATTCAAGGACTCGAGTTGCAACGGAAAGGATGGTGCCAGTGTTAAAAAAAGGGGTGATTTGCCACTACAGATGAGTTGAAAGGGTAATTTACGTGTGAAGTGGGTTGAGGGGTGATCTGCACCTTTTGCCTAAGGACAATTGTGTCAATTAAGCACGACTCATGTTGTTCGTGTACTGGTTCATCGATATCAATAATAGAATGGGGCAGCCAGCGATTAATCAATTTTTGTTTTTTTTTATTTTCTTATCTTTAACATTAGCCATTGACCAACCAAGTGTTAGGCTGCGATCTGCGCCGGACTGCATGCGGGCCCTGCCTTGTAGAATAGCACGTGCAAATTATGAGGTGGTTATGGCACAGGTAAATTGTAATGGCGTTAC